AAGGTCATTCATTTGAACAAACTTGGTAGCCCTTCAGTCTAGCATGTTACTGGCCAAATATCATTAGCCTAGGCCTCTTAGTTATTCAGAAGAAGTTGTATAAAGATCTTTTAAGACAATTGACCTCTGTGACCTTGAAAATGGACGAAGGTCATTGATTTAAACAAACTTGGTAGCCTTTCATCACAGCATGCTACTGGCTAAATAGCATCATCCTAGGCCTTTTGGTTATTGAGAAGAAGTTGTTTAAAGGTTTTTAACATATTTGACCCCTGTGACCTTGAATATAAGTAAAGGTCATTCATTTGAACAAACTTGGTAGACCTTCATTCTAGCATGTTACTGGCCAAATATCATTAGCCTAGGCCTCTTAGTTATTCAGAAGACGCTGTATACAGATTTTTTTAAGACAATTGACCCCTGTGACCTTGAAAATGGACGAAGGTCATTCATTTAAACACACTTGGTAGCTCTTTATCCCAGCATGTTACTAGCCAAAAATCATCACTCTGGGCATTTTGGTTATTCAGAAGAAGTTGTTTAAAGTTTTTAACATATTTGACCCCTGTGACCTTGAAAATAGGTGAAGGTCATTTATTTGAACAAACTTGGTAGCCCTTCATCCTAGTTTGCTTCTGGCCAAATATCATCACCCTAGGCCTTTTGGTTATTAAGAAGTTGTTTAAAGTAAAATATTGACGCCCCACGCCGACCGGCCGGACGCTGCACCATGGCATAAGCTCACTTGGCCCTTTGGGCCAGGTGAGCTTATAACAATCTGTAGTCCAGGGTTCGAATCCCAGTCAAGCTCCCTGCATTTTAACATTCAAAACACCAATGTTGGATATTTACATGTCCCCATTCTTTAGCTTAGTAAACTCAGACTGCATATACATCCGCAGTGAAAAACGGGTTGGCATTGGAAAACTGTATATAATGACAAACCATTCCTGATCTGCTACCGCGCAAAGTGATGGTGATGGCGCTAATGAACTGTTTTTAAACCACCTTTTAACGTTTTACTCCAGCCGGAGGTTCTCTTAGATAGAAGGGAACTAAGAATACAGATGGCTGTTGTTCATTGGCTTTCGATTGGTCAACATTTATATATTGTTGATTTTTTGCTCAAAGGCACACAAGTGTATGATGGCAAAACAACATATTTCTGGTGAATCATTTGTGAACAAGAAGGCAGCCTTGCTACAATTAAAACAGTGTATGATGGCAAAACAACATATTTCTGGTGCATCATTTGTGACCAGGAAGGCAGCCTTGCTACAATTAAAACTAATTTTTCATGGTGCAAATGATGATAACAAAGTTTTTTCTATCCATATGGACCCAGATTTTTGAGAAGACATTTTGATTTTTTTTATTTACAACAAAAAGTTTTCACATATTGGACCTAGGATTCTAAAACTCGTGGATTGCAACAGGTCAGTTTTAGAAAACTCACTGGACTGGGTCAATCATCCACGACCAGGTCATTCATCCACGACCGGGTCAATCATCCACGACCAGGTCAATCATCCACGACACAGGTCAATCATCCACGACCAGGTCAATCATCCACAACCGGGTCAATCAATTGGTCGAGCGTTCATCTAGAGTTGTATAAGTCCCCCAATTAGAACCTTTGTCTGGCTGTGCATTCCTCTTTCTCCTGTTACGAAATTTGGTGCCAAGTAATGTCTCTTGGAATGACATGTTACCTTGAAGTCTAGAGAAAATGTTCCATCTTAAACAAAGAAAACTAGGACTAGGTGATGTTTCGACAAAACATTTATTTTAATGCACTGGGTTATCATCAGTGTTGATAAGAGACGAAAAAGGGAGAGTTAAGCCAAGAACATAAACAGTTGAAGGAGTAATGTGTGGTGGATACGACACCAATTCTTTGTATTTGACCTCGCATACATTCATCGTTCATACCATGTGTATGGCCTTTACCACAATTTTAACAATTTTGAAAAGTAACAAATATTCTGTTCTCCATTTTGTACTTTAGTGTACTTTTCCAGCAGCATGTTCCGATTTTAATTCTGTTTTAACATTTTGGATTTTTTTTAAAGCTAGGAACAAAGAAAACGGGAAATGATAGTGAAAAACATAAAAAATAAGGTGTAAACCAACTTGATACATGAGCATGCACAAACCCAGATATCTGGATCTGAATAGGTACACACATACATATACATATATATATGAAACGTCAAAACATGGGTGATTTTCAAAAGCACATGTTAAAACACAGAATTAAAACCCTAACACTTTCACATGTTACAACACCAGACCGAGCTAAAATATCCCCAATAGGCCGCATGTTCTCCAAAATGTATGAATTCAAGCCTGATCTTGGAAGCTGTTGAACCTTGCCAGAAATGTCTAAAGGGAAGGGAAGAGTGGAGAACCACAACTTAAGAACATCAATATATAAGGCCACAGGTATTCAGATTTTATGGAACATGGTTACAAGGTAATACTGGCATTTTGATGAAGGACCTTTCCTAGATAGCAAGCACTACTTCAAATCTTGTCGAACCGAAAAAAGTCTGTGTCGGCTGTTGAAAGGTACTACTGTGGTATTAAATTTTTGCTCAAGTCAACCGTCTTGATAGTTCTTTTTTTTTATTCTAGTTTTAAGTATTTCTTCTTGCCCACGAAAGTTGTACAAGTTTGGTAATACTATATTCACCACAGTAACAGTTTACACATCAAGTCCTATGATAGCACTTGTACAGATATCAAGCACAATGATAATCTGGTTCAATCAGGTTTTACATTAGAAAGGCTGGATATTAGCAAGCAAATACTTGACTTGCAACATACACCTATACACATAAGTGCAGATAGATTTGAACAGTGATTGTAAATACACTGTTAGGGATTGGAAATACTTTTATGGAGGGAACATTGCTCACAAAGTATCCTGGATTGTACAATACTTCAGGTCTAAAACATATTAGGACAAATACCTCAATTTTTTAGATGAAAAGAATGCAGACCAAATCAAAATATATATTATCAACAGGAAATTGTGCATTAGAAATGGCTAAGACATAAATCGTATACATATACAGCACAACAAACAAGTCATTCTTCTCATCTGGTTGAGTCATTGAGGCATCAAGTCGCATACTAAATCAACATACAAATCAACCCATTCAAATTTGGCAAAGCTTTTTGTTTTATTGTAAGGTGGTTTGATTGGCCAACTGGTGTTCATGAGATGCCATCACAGTTCTGTGTGGGGGATAAGCTTGAGACTAGGTTTGAAGCGCTTGCTGTTTAGCTTAAAATTTGGTGATAATGCTGAACTCGGGACCAGAGTGCATACAGAATTGATACCACTATCATTTCAAAGCTTGTCTGGGCTACCATTTTCTTCTCCCTTTGGAACAAATTACCATTGAGACGACTTCTTACTGGTAAATTATAGTCTGGTAATAGGTGTCCACCAAGTCACTGGGATACAAGTATCTTGAAATGCAGGACCAAGTTCTGATCTGCTGAATTCAGATGTCATCAAAACAATATCAAGATTTTTCATGTCAAAACGAACTTAAACATTCACCAGAAATCACATTACACGACTTTTCAAAGCTGTATGCACCCAATGGTGACTATACCATGCTAGGCGAGAGGAGATGCATGCAAATATAGCCCAATTATTACACTCGATAGTCTGCTAATTAATCACAAAACTCTGAGGTTGGTTTGGTTACGACTACAAATGAACACCGACTAAATCAATCCAGATAATGATGCTTTGCAATGTCAATTAGAAAACTATCCCATGTGTCAGGTTTATAAAACTGTTCATAGGGTTCAATAAAATTTGCTTTATACTATTTAGAAGTTGATTTATATATTACAGTTCTTGAAGGAAAGCAAATCTTAACTATAATTAATCACCGATTTTTCCAGATAAAGCTTTGATATATGCCAATTTTTCAGCAGACTAAATGCGGGGAAAAACGTAGATCAGAAAGATATTTTTCAAACTAGTAGGTAATTAAGTGTTTATAACACATTTTATTTGTTAAAAAAATGTAAAAAAAAAATCCTGAATACCCATTATACTTCATCATCATCCAATTATTAACTAAAATGCTATCAGAGTTTATGAATGAAAATCAAAGACTACCAATCCACAAAGATTACTTGCTACGTCGCTTTATGTAAGGAATAACATGTACACACACAAATATAATGGTGCAGAAAGGGATGTCACGACAATCCATGTGGTAGCATGGCAACAATGAAAACGAAACAAGCGCCACACATACAGAACACATATATACTACATCCACTTGCACAGGTACGTGGTACACGGTCCAAGATGATATGGCTGCACATGCACTTTTATGTTGAGAGCCGCCCACTGGTTATGTAATAGCCACACTGATCTCGTGTCTGCTCTATTATATAGTATTAATCAACTAACATAGAAATAGCAGTATTTCATAATAATAACATGGTAGTAAAACGAGGCAGTTTTTCTTTGTTTTGTTTCAAGAAATCTTCCACAAGTCACATGCAAATCAAAAAAGTTGATGAATCTGATGTAAATAATGGTCATCTGTCCAACTTTCTCTCATACTACGATGACCGCATGTGAAATCCTTGCACAGCCTTTCCTCCAGATAACATATATCTAGTCTTTCAGTCGTACTAATGAACGACTATGGTTCAAACAGGGCTGACCAATCACCCAAGTCTTTGGCCATTTCCACTCCATCAGTTAAGCGATTCCTCCTGCTGATCGTTATCATGATCTGTGTGAGCGTCAGATGTCCATAACTGCAAGTAATAAGTTTCAAAATGAAGTCATCAAACATTTACTTAATGGTCACCAAACATTCTCTTATCTCCTGCTAAGGACTAATTGCCCAGTAAATTTACTGCTGTTGCGTGTAGTGATGAGCTGATGTTCAATTTTAATCGAACATTGATCAGTTTACTTCTTCCAATAACAAACTGATGATCTTTTATGATTTTATACCGATTGCCCGTCACTAGTGTATAGGTTCTGTTTAAAATTTAAATCCAGCCAAGGAGAGAAATAGGCAGTGTTTATGCCAGCTATTTTGGGAAAGGGCCTCTGAGGAGGAATTAGGAAAATATCATCAGTGTTCATGCACCTTGCACTTTAACCTTGGACCAATTGACCCAGAAATCCCCGACCTCTTAGTCTATTAATAGCTGTGTTCTACTGAACCTTGGCCTAGTAATCCCTAACTCCTTATGGATCTTCCTCTTTCCAAGCAACCATCAAATTTTGGAGTATATTTGGAGTAGATCTGTTATCGTTAACCCTTTCACCCCTATGTAACTTTATTTAACTCTACCATCAACTGATATGGATGACTTATGGTCTACAGTGCTGAAAGGGCTACAGAGATAGCATCCAGAAAGCAACATTTCCCAAAACATTCAGTCTATTTGTAGCCACTGCAATGATGACCATCGAGTAAGTCACTCCAGGCTTCTTCCCACTCACCTGCAGGCATCATTCATCTAAGTTATCAACCAATTTGTATATATATAGATGGACAAAGTGGCAACTACATCTATTCTCCCCGCTCCCCGAGGAACACAGAAAAGAGGGCTCAAAGTAAAAACCTACAGCACTCAAAAGCATTCAATCGCTCTGTCATTGTATTTTCGACAGGAAATGGCATAAACATACCACTTTGAGATTTTTTTTAAATGGCAAACAAAACTAAAGGGACATCACAATGAAGAATTTTTTTTCATTTTTTTTTTCTTGTTAAAAAACTGCATGAATATATCAAGTGAATCTCTTAATGGAAAATGACGGTCCTATTTTGCTGATACATTTTCATGAAAATGACTTATTACTTATAAAAGAGGAGATCTATCCGTTAAACTGTCTGGTCAAGACATTTTAAACAGTATTTTTTGGGTTTAACACATGTGCATAAGCAGCCATTTCATTGTAAACAAAATGGCTAGCCGCAGTAATTGTCAGTGAGTAAAACTGTTATCGCGTCAGCTACGAAATGAAGAAATACCAAATGGTCAAAATTGTGCAAGGATTATATTACGCAAGCAATATTGCAGGTGGAAAGTATTCAATGGAGAAATGTATTCTTCCGGATAGCCAATACAAAATTGAATCAAGCTGAAGCTGTCCAAAATGCTGTTTATGTTATGAATAAGTATTTAGAAACATTAACCTTGCTATAGTATGTTTGTCTTAAGTTGGAACAAAGATAAACTAATTTTGTTATTTAAATGGTAATGTATCGGATAGAGTTCATTTTGCATTTCTATATACAGTAGTTTATGCGAAAGGCAGGGATAGATTAATTTTTGTGATGGGGCCTTCCAAGGGAGAATTGTTGTGATGCTATACAAAACAGTCACAGCGTAAACAAACGTTTCAATAGAAGTAAATTTGTGAAATATTTCCAAATACAGTGATTTTTTTGCTCAGTTTCACTGTCGAACATACAGGGACCTGAGAATTTGTTACTGCTATATTTGGACCTAAACTAAGGTGTTCAGAGTAATTTTACATGTTTTAGGGGTTTAGATCGACTCTCGGTAAAAATGACACCCCCAATGATCATATATTTGAGAAGGGAGGAAAACTCTCAATGTCGACCCCATCTAAATTTCTTGCATCAAAAACGACATTTCTTGATGATCTACGGGAAAATGCTCATAAGTTGCTGTAGATTTTCTGTTGTCACTTTGTATGTCTATTTCACAGATTTTTGTTTTGCTTTGCAGTTCACAAAATTGACTAACAATGATTCAATATAGCTCAAATATATTTCCTCCATGGAATATTTCCATGTGAGGGTAAGGTATAGAACATCAAACATGTCCCCTTATGTACAAAACAGAAATCCAATACTTACTGTGAGATTATCTCGTAATAACTGCATTATCAATGTACTATCTTTATAGGAGTCCTCACTTAATGTGTCTAATTCTGCAATAGCTTCATCAAATGCCTGAAACAAATAGGTATACATATTACAGATCATATAGGATATACCATATTACAGATCATATAGGATATATACAATATAACAGATCATATAGGATATACAATCTTTCCTGTTTTTTCAATAAACTTTATACATTTTACAAGAATTATGAAACAAGTTTTTTCAACTTATATTATCACTCTTGTTGGCCAGGATAATGACGCGTATTAGTGTGGGAGGAAACCATAGTACCTGTACTCAATACAAATACTTCAACCTTATAATAGACAAACAGCCTATTGATAGTGTTGGTCCGACACTTCACAAAAAAACTTGCCCAAAACTTTAACCTGAAGCTTGCCATAAAACTTTAACCAAGTCCAATAAAGCTGTTTTTGGCCCCTAAAATATGAAAATATTGTCCAGAACATTTCTAACACTCCATATAAATACTTCAACCTTATAATAGACAACAGCCTATTGATGGTGGTTGTCAAACACTTCACAAAAAACTTGCCCATAAACTTAAACCTCAAATTTAATTAAGTCCAATTATGCTGTTTTTGGGCCATAAAATATATGAAAATATTATCCAGAACATTGCTTATACTCGCTAAAAATGCTTCAACCTTATAAAAGACAACAGCCTTTTGATGTTGGTTGTCCAACACTTCACAAAAAAATTGTCAAAAACAAAAACTTTAACCTCAAATTTAACCAAGTCCAATTATGCTGTTTTCAGGCCATAAAATATGAAAATATGGTCCAGCACATCGCTTACACTCGATATAAATGATTTAACCTCATAATAGACAACTGTGTATTGAGTATGATGATCTAACACTGTCTGGAAAAAACTTACCCAAAAACTTTAACCTCAAATTTAACTAAAGTCCAATAAAGCTGTTTTGGCCTTTAAAATGCAAAATTATGGTCCAGCACACTGCTTACACTCGATTTAAATGATTTAAACTCATAATAGACAACTGTGTATTGAGTGTGATGATCCAACACTGTCCTGAAAAAACGCCGACGCCAGGGCGACTACATTATTCCTCGAATAGACGGGTTAAAAAGGAAGAGCAGGAGTGTATAGCTAATTAATATGATTATTCTGATTCTTACCTTCTTAGCTGTTTTGCATGCCTGCTCTGGGCAATTATCAATTTCGTAAAAGAACACCGAATAATTCAGTGACAGTCCTAGCCGGATGGGATGCGTTGGCTGCATGTATTCGCATGCTTTTTCATAAGCCTGGTCATAGGCGCATTTCGACTCCCTGATAATGTTCTCTGCAAAAAAAAAAGTAGAATAGAGCGTAAATAATGTATATATATATTATGTTATCTAGAATTATATTATTAGAACTGACGATAGCTGCCGATGAATGACGAGTTACATTGTTCAACAGAATGTCAGTCGATATTATGTTTACATTCAAAGTTTATTGTTTACACACACTCCATAGTAAAGCAAGTATACTGATCACAAGTGTTTTCTAGGCCCGTCAAGCAGCAGTCAGGAGCGACATTTCTGCCCGGGATGTCAATAAATACTGACCTATATTTTGGGACATTTTCATGTACATGAATTTGCTAACCGGATAGTAATCGTAACCGAACCGCAACCAGGTACTCAGTTACCTGTTCCAGCCCTAATGATAACCCCTCTTGCCGAAAGATGCAACAAATCATATTTAGAAATATCACGTTGTCTGTTCCATGCTGCAGATCAAATTTAGTTAAAATCCAAATGTTTATCCGACTAGTTTGGAAATGAGGTTGAAATCTGCCTAGTACTTTTGACAAGAAAGCCCAGTTTGAAGACTTTTGATAGTCATTGGCTACTGATGCAACTAACAAAATTTGATGAAAAAGTGACCAGTAGTTGGGGACGAGATAAACTTTGGGTGGTCGGGTGGTGCATTGGATAGCACACACTTGCCTTTCACGGCCGGGGTTCGTTTTGAAAAGGTATGGGACCACCTGCCCAAGCATGTGGGTTTTCTACGGGTAATCTGGTTTCCTCCAACACAAAGACCCCTTGGCGCTAATATCCGGGCCAACAAGAGTGACTAATATAAGTTAACACAACTTGTTTCATAATGGTTGTAAAATAAATAAAGTTAATATTTTTTATGTAAACTTTTTCACCTTTGATCATGTCCTTATACAAAATTGAGTCCCAATTGCCAAATGATACTCTGGAACAAAGGTTGGTTAAAATCTCTCCAATGGTACTATAGGAAAATGACTCCCCCCCTTTGCTCCCAGGGGGGCAACGCAACACCCTCTGTTTATAGAAAATTCAGTTTCCTTTGCCCATGCATGCTCTACACTAAATTTGATTAAACTCTTCCAATTGTACTGAAGAAGAAAGATTTCAAGGTTTACCTGAAGTTCCCGAATTGGGATTGCAATACCTCCAATTGTACAGGAGAAGGATGAAGTGAGCTTTCTTCTGCCCCCCCCCCCCCCCCCCCCCCCTTTTTTTGAAAAACCCTCTGCTTTAGACCCTTACCCTTAGTCATTGCACTTCCTGGCTCATTAACCTCTGCTAGGTACCGGTAGTAGTCGCCCTTCATTTTCAGGTAGAAAACAAGACTCTCCTTATCATCACTCTGTGGTTGGTTTGTTTGTACTTCAACTGCAGGTATAAGCTTGTCTTCAAGCAATTTCTGAAGAGAAAAAAAAGTACACAAGATAAAACTCAAGTTGCAAAATTTGGAAGGACTATAGCAGATGGTAGGTGCAATCATTTCCGCAATACATTATCCTGATTCAGTTCGTATATAAATGACATGTTTATTAAGATTTTTTTTTTTTAAATGAAATGTATAACAAGGATATTTGTTAAAGATCAAGCAAAAAATACTTGATGTTTCCAGTAACCTTGTCTTATTCTATTTTTTGTGTGCCTTCCATGAACTTGTTAAGACCACTCTCCTATATTAACCATATAACAGAATGTTAAAATAAAATTGTTACATACTAGTGGTGTACCGATAACTGGAAACATCGATTAAATCAAGCATGACATGAGGTTGATTCGGTAATCCATTAAGCACATGAAAGATCGATTTTGAAACTTTGTCATGAAGGTCAAGAAGAAGATCGTTTTTGTTGGTTTGTCATGAAGAACTGAAATTCTTGAGATACATACAGTTGCTTTTCATGTTTGCTCGAAAATAAAACGTCCCTTTCACCCATTCTTGTTGATTCACGCTTGAATCATGGCGGCATTCAAGCATGGTAGCTATAGCATCATTACATAATCATGGTTTGACAGTGCAGTGTTTTGTTGGTTAGACTAAATATATAACTGACCAAATTCTGAAGAACAGCAAATGGCGGCCACCGGAATGAAAACACTTTCTTTTTCAGCAAAGGGTTGGTAGGACACAAAATATACAGTACTAACTTAATTTGACTCAATTTCAAATGGGTTAACTTAATTCACAACAATAAATGTCATATCAAGTACTTAACCCAAAATGCATAACCTGATTTGTTTGTGGTATGATCGCTATCATTATGACTCGTCTGCAGGAGATAGGAAAAAGTATGTTCACTTCCCAAACGGTAATCTACCGGTCATTGTCAAGTTCTGAACTACCTTTTCTCATCATATGAACGTCTCTTAGATAATATTATTATAATAAAGTATGTTTGTATATATATGTCATATCATTACCATCATCACACAGACCAAAATGGCTTTAATGCAGAGAATGGCAAAATGGGCAATGTTGATGAGGATGTTGTATTGATGACACAGCCAAGCATTAGATTGATCATGATGTGACAGAACTGTTAAAGCATGAAGACATGTATACCCCTGAAAATACTTAATCATTGGATATGAAGTCTATTTGTTACTTAATTTTTATATTAGACTGGGGTGGGGTTTTTTGTCTATCATGTTTAGTGTATCATCTATGGGCAATATTTTTTATGGTGCACCAATTTCCGGTGAAAATTGGGTCAATAGCTTATTGGTTTTCCCTTCCCAATCACCGGGTATATCCAAGTTCTTCCTTTGATCTGCATGAACTGCATTAATCACCGGTGACGTTTTTCTTTCAAACCCAATATTATAAATGTATAAATTAGCATACTGGTGTCGCCAGACTTCCATACACATATATCTTTAACAATATCAAATGGAATGAATTAAAAATCATAGATTTGTTTTGAAGAGCACAACCGACAGATTTCGTCAATTTTGATAAACTAATATCGCATAGGCCTATATCTCCAGGGTGAATATGAACACACCCTTTTTTTTATGAAGAATGCATAATCAGCTGAATGGTGTCAGCTCGAATATTGCAACATATCGATTCAAGCTGAATTTAATACATTCAAACATAGTCATTAACATCTCAAGAGTGATTATTAGTGTAAAATTGTATCAATGATTTCATTCATTTGTTATTAGCATCCATTCAGGTCCAGTCACTGAAAATAAATCATACAAAATATTCCTACACGGCGTGTCATCACTAGTACATCTACATCCGCGTGTACAACATGTCCGCGATCGTCTAAACTTACCAGTACTTCATTGCAAATATCTGTAAGTTCACTGGTGATTTTTGCTTTGTATTCGACAACAATTGGCTTTTTCTTGTCTGCAGGATCAGATGCCTTTTTCTGTTCGATACTAGAGATTACCCTCCAAGAGGACCGTCGAGCACCCACGACATTTTTGTAGGCGACAGAAAGTAGATTCCTTTCCTCGTTCGAAAGCGGAGCTTCTAATTCCACCCTCTTCTTCATCATTGCGGCCATGTCATCATATCGTTCAGACTGCTCGGCAAGCTTTGCCTTCTGAACGATTTCAAGTTGTTCCGTCCTATTGACACCTTCTGCTTCACTCGCAGACATTTTTGCTGTTATTTGCAGTGACCCTTCCTTCAGTTCTCAGGCGGAAGACTGTAATTCAGTTGTACGGTGACATCATTTTCTTCATCCGCAGTGTAAAAATAGATTTTCTCAATATTGCAGTTACAAATACATATTTGAACACTGGAAATACTTTATTTATAATAAATTGATAAACTACAGTTATTTTGTAAGTCTAAATGACCACAATATTTTATTTGCATGAGAACTATATTTTCGCCAATATGCTCGCATACTGGAAGTGAGTTATTCGCCCTTGCCTTCCAGAATTTCGGGGATTCATTTTTCGAAACCAAGGAAGGCGTTTGACGTCACAGTTACTTGGCAACTGTACTCGAGCACATGCTTAGTATGAAATATGCAGAAACTGTATTGTTTTGATTCATATAGTTTAAATTTTGAAAATCATATTAATTTGTAATGGAAGAAAATTAAATTTGTGTAATAATGAAATAAAAGTTAATATTGAGACCCAGCATTCCCGTTATTTTTCATAACTTCCGTTGAGAGAAAGCACGTGTATCCGGATATCAGAGTGACAGGAAAGTCGACAAAATGCCGAAGTCAAAGAGAGATAAAAAGAGTAGGTTTCGTCCCACATATAGCAAAATACTTTATTGAACATGTTTTAAATGTTTTATGACTCCGAGTCACAATGTGAGTGATGGCAGCGATGTCCCTGATGATAGAAAATATACACAAGACTGATGGTGCAACAATGCGACAGAACGTAACTTTTGAACCAATTTAATAATAATATGAAATAGGTGAGACCTAATCAGCGGACACACATGAAAATACAGTTTTCTAGATAATATAATTTAACTTTCATTTCATGCACAGTCGGTAGAATAGCAAGAATCCAATCCTTGCATACTTCAATATACTGGGGGAGGTCCGGGATAAATCCGGTTTCGTTATCGTATAGTTTTTGGTAATAGTAACGAGTCGACAACTTCCCCTGCAGTCCTCGCCTCTTTCGTCAGGTTACAGACATGTTTTCACTGCAGGTGCGAACACTGGATGTAGCTCTTCTGAGCTAAAGTTGCATTGTTACAAACACGACTCGAAATATAAATTCTTGTATCTGGTAATACAAGCAATTGATTCAATAACTCACCAAGGTGTTTCAAAATACAAGTAACTGTTTATTAACAAGACGGAATGAATATGTATAACAAGTTTAACAAATACAAAGCATAGCATTAGTGCCAAACAATGACAGCTAATGTTAAGAAACCCATCCCTACGTAGAAATCTATGCAGAGTACAATATACTGGCCTAACCTACCTGACAGTACTACCAGTAGACTACGACCACATGCTCCTAGCTCTCTTATAGATCTACAGCGAACCACCATGTATCGATGCCTAAGCCTGAAGCCCCTGACTATCCCTACATACATGTTCTGCAGTTCCTATAGCACTCTATATATCCCAGGAACGATAACCTCATGTAGTCCTTCGGTATTGGTACTGTTAGCAGTACCTCGGCCCATGTTTTGCACTGTTAACAGCGCATGAGGCGGTAAGGTTCTCCTCACCAGGAGAAGTGAGTCGGCTCACCCGCCCGGACCCGCTGGTTTATACCCCCTTATCACCCCACGAAATAGCCTTGAAGATGAGTTACCAACTGTTAATTTCGAACCCAGCCTCGCCATCTAAAAGCATGTGAGCGAGGAGTGGGAACCTATTCCTGTTATTACTATCACCCACTTCAAAAGTGTAAACACACAGATTTCAGCACCGGTATTGTAGCAGCTGATCGCCAGGAATCCTACACTGAACGAAAAGCCCTAACCTAAATTATGGTGAATAACACAGAAAGTAACAGATCCCTGTCTGTAAATCATAAACAACAACTATACTTAACAAAGTAATACAAATGTGGGAAGTAAACAACCTAGCTTCCCTCAATACCATAATATATAATTTTGGGGTGGGGGGATAACTAAGGATTCCTCATCCTTCCCTAACCCCCTGCCAGCCTGTGGGATTTTCTTTCAAAACATCGGGTAAGTAGACAGGGGCAAGTTTGGCCCATTTTCATTATTTGAAGTCGTTCTGGACAGTATTTGTTAAAATTTATGTGTATCATACCCTTCATAAAACTAGAACAGAATGGCAAACATGCCCGTATTTGAAGAGTTATATAAGAGTGTATGGTCTAAATGTGCACCGCTTTGGGGTAAGTTCGACAGGATGACTGGGATACATGTAAGATCGGCCCACATTCAAATTTGCATAATTATGACGTCAGAAAGCATGCAACGTCATACTTTCCCTCCAATGTTAAGCTTCCCCCGTGTATGGCATTGGCTGAACCTGCCCCTGTGTCATGTGACGAACCTGCCCAAAATTTATATTTTAAGACATGTATATTTGAGCAATTCAAAACTCGATGCTAGGCTTGTATGTATACCAGCATGTGAAGTTGTCGGTTTGTTACACGTATGACATCAATAAGTAGCATTTCGGTTTACTAGAAAGAAGGGAGGTCATAATTTTCTTTCTACCCCCCCAAAAAATAATTTTCTTGCTTTTAGTAATCTAGAATTATAGTTTTCCCGTCATTTGTTTTTTCGTATGAATGTCCTACCCAGTGAACTGCACTGCTAAAATGTTGTAAATATTTGCTCAACACTAAAATATCAGGAGTGGCCGGATTTACCCCAGGGCCGAACTTGCCCTGGTTTCCACATGTTTCCCTAACACCATATTGAACCCTGTCACTATGCATCTGCCCTGGTTCATTGTCTTAATTGTTAGCATCAATTACCGGTCTATTTGTTTGTTTTCTTCAGATGGTACCGTAAAGTACTGAAAAGAGTAATAGAACGAAAATAAAAAAGATGATTTACACAATTATTAGACTAGTGTTTGTCAATACATGCATTCAAAAGAATCAAAGGTCTTAATCCAGAATTGATGCTTACATTTTAACAGTGATATTTTGTATGTAAATAGACAATTAGGATAATGATTATTATTACAAAAACATATATACACACAATTACTGTAAGAGAATTTAATGCATATTTTTCTCTGAAGTAATTTGGTAAGAAGAAGAAGCAGATGGCACAGCGAAACGAACCTTTAAAAAATAAATCATGTTCTTAAAAATCGGGTTACGGAAAACTATGACATTATTTGGAGATCAAAATTAAAAGAACAAAATTCTTTGTGTTTGTTGAAAAAATAAAAAATAAAATGTCTGTATTTGAACTTGTGTTAAAATGACTTCAGAAGAACTTTTTAAAAGCAACATAAATGAAATACGTACACTATTATATCTAAGATATCTATTATATGTCGATGCCTACAATGTAGTTACAAATGAAAAAAATGTGCACTGAACTGTAGGGATAAGAATAAACTAAATCAAAACATTCTAAATAATGTGGTGTAGCTGCAGAAAATTTGAGTTGGCTTCAGTGAATGTATTGTCAACACTATATGATGACTCGTGTTAACAGTGATGTCACAGTCACGTCACAACATCTTGGGAACGTCAACTCGGCATATTTCAACGCAAAATACGTAGGTCTGGTATACAAATTATCAGTATCAACTGATGCTATTTTGAAGCTATTTAGGGGCAAATAACCAAGCGTATGTACTAGATGGAAACAACTTTCTGTTCGAGAAAAATGAAAATATCAAAATAATATGTAGGACATCCAAGGATTTCATCACTAACATTGACTTGTAAAAAAATGTAGGATTGTTTCTGAACATAAAAATCTGTCGGACATACGACAAAAATAGAGGGTATTCATTGAAAATATCAAATTAATTGTTTGTGCAAAAAAAACACATCAATGCACGGAGCAACGCATGTCGCCGTATTTTGCGAGCCTGTACGACCGGAGGGACGAAAGGTTTTGAAGCCTTCATATAGCATTGAATTGATTCACTCTCATTTTCCTGTACTTTCCGTACATGTGTTGCTGTAACTGCTCGGACGATCGCATACACGAAAATATTGTACGTTTGATATATATACATGAAAGTACTCTATATCAATCCTTAAAATATACCTACTACTTCAATCAAATAGGCTGCTACATCTAGACACATAAATAACAGTTCACTATCACCAAAGACGTATATATATATATAACATAAGAGGCCGATGGTTTTGCCGACTGACGCGGCGCCTGTCAAAAGTATCTCGCCATGTAAACCAGAGGTCCCGGATTCGACTCTTGGCGCAGGCATTGAAAAAATAATGACCTCTGTTACATTGGCGCCCACGTAGGGACCTGCGTAATATTGACAAATAAACTCAGCGATACTTTCACAAGAATCCCTATGACCCCTGGAAAACTCGGGACAAGTTCTTTCCTGGAGGGGGAGCATGTCACCATGGTAATATACTAGCCGCTTACTACCGACTAGGCAAGAGAGATTTTCTCTTTAGCTCATCTGGTAGAGTGTAAGACTATAGTCAGCCAGAGGTCCTGGGTTTGACTCTTGGCGGAGGCATTGAAAAAAATAATGACCTCTGACGCTGACCTGATACATTGGCGCCCACTTAGGTACCCGGGTAATATTGACAAATATATATACTCAGCGATACTTTCACAAGAATCCCTATGACCCTGGAAAACTTGGAGGGGGAGTATGTCACCCTGGTAAAATACTAGCCGCTTACTACCGACTAGGCTAGGGAGATTTTTTCTTTAGCTCATTCAGTAGAGCGTAAGACTATTAAGCTAGAGGTCCCGGGTTCGACTCCTAGCAGAGGAATTGAAAAAAAAATGACCTCTGTTACATATCTACCATCATAAACTATCAAGTCCTTGAGCACCGGCTATACAAGAAGATTTGGCTATATAGTCCAATATGATTTAACGTATATAGGACGAATATAGACAAACAACCTGTTACTGGTAATGTTCATCTTGTGCACGTCAAAAAATTTGTTGACCGAACAGGAGAGTTTGTGAGGTAAAATTTTGTTGTTTAAATACACAATTATAATAGATTTGGTGAATTTTCATCATTGCATTCTTTTCCTGTCCTCAGTGTTCCTTATTAGTATAAAAGTAAAGTGTGTGTCAATTCAATACATCCTCAATATCCAGGGGTTACGCTCACCTTCGCTCTCTGCACCCCTGGATATCGAGGATGCTTCAATATGGGGTCAATGTCTTCCCAAAGATAAGCATCGCATATCCCGAAGATGCAGATTCGGGCCTCGGGTTATCTAGGATATTTCAATATTGCGTCAATGTCTTCCCAAAGATAAGCATCGCTTATCCCGAAGATGCAGATTCGGGCCTCGGGTTATATAGGATATTTCAATATGGCCTCCATGCCTTCCCACAGATAAGCATCGCTTATCCCGAAGATGCAGATTCGGGCCTCTGGTTTTCTTTTGGAAGAAACTTCTGAGTAGGAATGATAACATGCAGTGAAAGTTGTTGATGTGCCGAGAGTGAAATGGTTCAGCAATGGTTAATATTCCTTTCTAACTATCAGATACAGAGGATAAAAGATGGCAAACATTTTTGCAACGATGAAAATCAACAAAGTCACTGGAAATTGAGTTGTTAGATACAAACTTTTCGTTTTACTGACTTAACTACAGCTATTTGTCCACCAACTTTTTAATGAGCATGAGGAAATTGCAACCATGCTTGACTTGGTTAGAAATTACTAAATATTTATGCAAGTGGTAAAGGGTCTTTCTAGAACTATATATGTCTCTGGACTTAGTGGAAGGGGGAGCAGGAAATATAGCAGAACTGACTGAGTGAATTGTCTGTGACAAAGCTCAGATTGGTTAACATATCTCTCTTGGATTTGGAGGTTTCATACTCAAATCCTAGTCTAGCAATTAAAATAAATCCATTCCCGTTACAGGCCTGGGAAATCCTGGAATTTGAGATCATTGGGCCATTGACAGCAATATTTAGTCAATAACAAAACTAATTCAATGTAGAATTGAAAGAAAATTGGAACATGATGGGATCAATTTCAGTTTTGAGGGGTCAAAGGCCCCGTCCAGGATTATCCCTGTTGTTGTATGTCTTGTACATCTTGGTTTTTGTTTTTCCAGTCTCTTTAACCCAGACAAAGAAGAAAGGATTGGAACTGAAGCAGAAACTAATTGAAGAGGTAAGTATATTGGATCTTTTTGGGATCATACAGTTACTGTTAATAATTAGCCCATGCTGGATACTAGTGCCACTTGATAGTGTCACCCTGGTAAACATCCCTGATACTCCAGGGATGACACTCGCTCTCTACACCCCTGGAATATGTCATAGCAAAAGTGAAGGCCCACTGTGCAGCACCATATGGATGAGACGAGAAGACTAGTTTGATCCGTTGATGTACATCAAAAGAATATTTTGTTTGCCTCACGGTAAAATTAACTGGTTTTGAAGTCAGGATTGGTCTTTTTTTATCTTCAGAGGACATGTATTAATTAGCCTCAGCTATTGGTCAGGTATTTTTACTTGAGACCAATCAAATAGCTAGTTGCATGTCTTCAATTTTGCTGTGACATATTCCAGGGGTGCAGTGAGCATAACCCCTGGAGTATTGCGGATACCTGGTACAATACTAGCCACTTCTAATTCCCTCTCACTAAATAAACTTCAGATTATTGAAATTTAAAACCTTTTCAAGGGATTAAGAACTGATTGATCAAATTACACTTACTGAAAGTTCCTGTCCTACTGAACTGTGTTCTTATATAAACAGTGCCCCCCCCCCCACACACACACACAAGATAATTTAAGATGAATCAATTTCTGGTATTCTTATATAGTTGTCTCATGCATCAAATCAAAATGATTTAAAGCATATGTCACTTTGGCATTGAATGTCTATATATTGTGATGTCCCAGTAGTACTCTATTATAAAGGTATATATTGCTAAAATACTTAAATTACAAGTGCATTGTCTTGGCTGATTTTAAGTTTTGTTTGATTTTACAGATTCGAAGTTGTACAGAAAAATATGTCAGAGTTTTTACATTTTCTGTACATAATATGAGAAATGTGCAATTAAAAGAAGTACGCAATGATTGGCATAGTAGCAGGTGAGTGTACATGTTACTCCTGTTTTTATTAGCTCACCTGGCCCAAAGGGCAAAGTGAGCGTATGCCGTGGTGCCAAGTCCATCGTCCGTCAGTCGTCCGTCTGTTGTCCGTCCGGCATCAACATTTTACTATAAACAACTTCTTCTGAATAACCAAGAGGCCCAAGGTGATGATATATAGCCAGTAGCATGCTAGGATGAAGGGCTACCATTAGTTTGTTCAAATGAATGACCTTTGCCCATTTTCAAGGTCACAGGGGTCAAATATGTTTAAAATCTTTAAATGACTACTTCTGAATTACCAAAAGGCACAAGATGATGATATTTGGCATGTAACATGATTGGATAAAGGGCTACCAATTTTGTTAAAATCAATTATCTTGACCTATATATACTAAGGTCTCAGGGGTGAAATATGTTCAAATCTTAAAATGACTTCTTCTAAATAACCAAGAGGCCTAGGGTGTTGATACTTGGCCAGTAGCATGCTGGAATGAAGGGCTATAAAGTTTGTTCATTGTTGAACTTTCAAGGTCACAGGGGTCAAATGTTTTAACAGACCTAGGTTATTTTGAATGATTTATAGTCATAAATACTGATATTTTGCCTATAGCTTTATTTAATGAGATCACTTTTAAAGTTACAAGTGAGAGATTAATACCAGGTGAGCGAAGCAGGCCAATTGGGCCTCTTGTTTGTGTTTTATTTTACTTTTTTTTTTAAATCCTTTGACTTTGTGCCTTCAGGAACACCTTGATGTAATGGCATATCTATCAATCCTTGGTAGTCATGATTGCTAGTGTACAGTCATTTTTAGTGCATGCAATCAAGAATGAGGCTTCAGATAATTCACTCTCCCAAGAGTTTTGGTTTGAACCCCAGCGGTGGAGGAAAAAGATAGTGATGTAGGATAGGGTTAGTTGTCATCCCTCTGATAGAACGGTGGTTTTCCCCGTTGGTGTTTCTCCACCACACCGTTGTTCATTGACCATTGACTCGCTGAAGATACCTCAATGAAGTTTTAGAAGTATATGTAGGATGGCAAGGAGGTGTGTGTTATACCACTATCAAGTCCATATGTCCATAATCAAGGTCAAAGGTCAAATTTAGTTTCCTTGTCATATTCTCTAGAGCAATATTTAACATTGTGTCTCTGGGAATGATGTCAATTTGTCGAAGTAGAACTTTTTTCACTGGGATGAAAAGTAACATCGCAATAACAAAGCCACAGATGATAATATAGATATAACTAGAGGAAACACTGGATAATTCTCTATCATGATTTTAAGTTTGATCAAAATTTGGTATCAAATGAGGTCACAAAAATGTTTTGAAAAACATGACTTAACATAGAATCCAATGGGAAAAGAAAGAAATATGAAAGACTTTAGACATGTCAATTTAGGTAAGGATACATTGTAAATTACAGATATCTTGTAACAAAATTGATAACAGTTCTACACAATTACATTCAACCAATACTTCAGTTTCTCATTCATTGTTCTATTTTCGCTTTTCATGTTTTATGTTTTGTTTTGAAAATTTGCAGATTTTTCTTTGGCAAAAACAAGGTTATGTCCCTTGCCCTTGGTAGAACAGCAGAGGATGAATGCAAGGATAACATACACAAGCTAAGCTCTCAGCTCCACGGTCAGACAGGCCTGCTCTTCACCAACAAGCCAAAAAAGGAAGTTTTAGAGTGAGTTTTGTTTTTGTTTTTTCGGTGCTGATCTAAACAGTCCTTGTTTACCTTTGAATTTACAAAATTATGTCCACTAGATTTGTAGAGTTCAGACAATCAAAGATGACAATGACAGAAATCACAGCAAACAGTTAAGTCGTCAACAAGGATGGCCTATTAAAATACATTTACAAATCTGTCAATACATAACGCTATAATTGATAATCCAGGAAAATCCCTTATTAAACGATATATGTCTTACCTACCTTTCAAAGACTACGAAATGTATTTTAATTTACATACAGTGTAGAGTTACTTTGACCGTACTTTCATTTTCTTTTGTACATTTCATTTGAAGCTACTTTGATGGTTACCGTATGCCAGACTATGCTAGATCAGGAAATATCGCTACACAGACTGTGCACTTAGAACAGGGACCCATGCCAGAGTTTTCTCATTCTATGGAACCTCAGTTGCGCCAGTTGGGTCTGCCAACAAGTCTACAGAGAGGTAAAACTTGTGATCTAAATAACTATGTCAGCTGGCAAACATATATTTGTAGAAGTAGCTCAAACTTGGGCCGTAGAATATGTTACAAAGCTGTGATAAATATAGATATTTTGACTATTTCAATACGTGAAATGTGGCTAATCCAGAAATGCTTTAAAGTTTGCTTGTTTAATTATATATGTGTATTGTTTGTCAATGAAACACACTGAAATGAAACCAGTTGAAATCAAAAGCCAAAGAAAACAGACTACAAAAATTCAATAATATTGTTTTGGGATATGACAGGTCCAATTTATGTGAAGATATATTTACTAATGCACTGCAAGCTCCTTTATGAGCATAACACCAAGAAATTGTTTGCAATTTGATCAGCGTCATTTCGAAGCTTCTCCTTCCGCCTCGGTAGATTTCTAGTTTTAAAATTCATTCACATTGCCTGCCTTGTAGATTCTAGTTTAAAAGATCCTTTACATTGCCTGCATGGTAGATTCTAGTTTAAAATTCCTATACATTGCCTGACCTGAAGATTTCTAGTTTAAAAATTCCTTTACATTGCCTGCCCAGTAAATTTATAGTTTAAAAATTCCTTTGCATTGCCTGCAGTGTGCATTTTCTATTTTGACCTCTATGTTACTTTTGACAGGTACTGTGACGCTATTACGGGAACACAAAGTCTGTGAGAAGGATGATGTTCTGACACCAGAACAAGCCAGAATATTAGTAAGTATCCAGTGCTGTAACAGTATTGGTCTTGAGGATTACTGTATCACTGCCAAAAACTGTAACTAAGTATCAGACACTGCTTTTTCCGGTATTACTATATCTTTGATGAATAATTTCTGAAAAGAAATCCTACGGGAACTCCATGAGAAATAATAAAGACGAACTTAACAAAATATAATCAACAACAACAACAGTGTTCTGAGTGTAAACAACAGTGTTCTGAGTGAAAACAGCAGTGTTCTGAGTGTAAACAAGTGTTCTGAGTGTAAACAACAGTGTTTTGAGTGTAAACAACAGAGTTTAAACAACAGTGTTCTGAGTGTAAACAACAGAGTGTAAACAACAGTGTTCTGAGTGCAAAAATGGAGCAGACCTAGAGACAGGTTCAAACGCTGGACTTTAGATTGCTATAATAACGCTCTAACCGATTCAGCTACCCTGTCTACGGAAGTGTCCTGTCCAAACTGTTCTACAACTGTGTCCAAACAGAAGTTAAGGGGAGGTAATCATGTATAGGAAAATCAACAGAGCAGTGGGACAGGGATCCTTAAGTAAAAGAACTAACAGTAGTGTTATCTGTTTTCACGTTATATAGATCAGATACTGATATATAAGGGGACCCCATTGGAAATCAGCTTTCTATGGCATTGATGGGTTACCCCAGGGTAAGGCAAACTATGTAAATAATAGATACAAACTTTGTAAAACACCTATTTAATTCCATGAAGTTATTTTGATGTGAATGCTTTTTCCTGAATGAATATTCTTTATAATACTTTGTATAAATCATTAATAAAATTATGCCTGCTTTAGGTTAACCATTGAAAAGCAATTGATGCCTTTATATAAACCATTGAAAAGTATTGATGCCTTCGTTGTATAAACCATTGAAAAGTATTGATGCCTTTATATAAACAATTGAAAAGTATTGATGCCTTTATATAAACCATTGAAAAGAATTGATGCCTTCGTTGTATAAACCATTGAAAAGTATTGATGCCATTATATAAACAATTGAAAAGTATTGATGCCTTTATATAAACCATTGAAAAGTATTGATGCCTTTATATAAACCATTGAAAAGTATTGATGCCTTTATATAAACCATTGAACATTACTGATGCCTTTATATAAACCATTGAAAAGTATTGATGCCTTTATATAAACCATAAAAAAGTACTGATGCCTACTTGATAATTAAACCATTGAAAAGTATTGATGGATCATGCCTTCTTTATATAAACCATTGAAAAACAAATTAAACAATTGATGCCTGCTTTATATGAACCATTGAAAAGCTCGTGATGCCTGCTTTATTTAAACTATTGAAATTTGAAGCCTGCTTTGTATGAATCATTGAATGGTATTGATGCCTATAAACCATTGAAAAACATTGATGCCTGCTTTATATAAACCACTGAAACCATTGAAAAGCATTAAAGTCTGTTTCATATAAACTATTAAAAAATATTGAAGCTTGATTTTACTTAATGTTAAGTAAAATCTTGCTTCAATCAAATCTCTATCAAGCAGTCAATAACAACAGATCGTCACAAACAGCAACCACCCTAAGGTCATCACAAATGAGGAAAGGGAGTAACAATCACCTCAAAGAAATAAGATTTTACAGTTTCTCCTACTGAATTGTTTGGGGGTTTTTTCCAGAAATTATTTGGTCACATGATGGCAGAGTTTCACATCACAGTAGAAGGAGTGTGGGAGAAAAACAAGTGGAAAGTGTTAGCAGAACGGCCTGTGCCTATAGTGCCCCCCAAAGTCACTGTCAGACGTGAGTACCCAGCTCTTTAATGTGTCATGTCATGTCCCTACAGACCGCGACAAGTGCTCCAATATATTATTAGGCATTAAAAACCGCTTAATGTTATAATAAATATAGAATGCCTGGAACAGTGATTTCACATATTTCTTACAATTAAAACTGCCCGAAGTCACTAACAAGTAATTGTAATTGTTCACTTATTCTTTAAATTGAATACTTTTCATAGAGTTTGAAGATATGAAGTATGTTTTCTTGATAGAGTAACACATATAATTATATACCAAATCAAAATACATGTACCTGAAGTCTTGATAATTGGCCTGCAGCTTGCTTGAGTGTCTTCATACCCTGGTATATCAAGACATTGTACGGTCAACAGCTATATCTATTTGCATGATGCATTTGGTCAACACTTGTCTCGCTAACAAGATTATTTTCCTATGAATAATTAATTCCATCACTCATAGTATCATGCTTGTATATTTTTAGCCAAGAAAAAGAGTGATGATGACGATGACGAGGCTGCAATGGAAGATTTAGAGGAAGGCGACGATAAGATAGAGAGTGATGAAGAAACTTGATTTTTGTTGTCATCTTTGTGTACGTATTAAAAATGTCCTTGTCAAATTCTGCTGTTGTCTGGTTTATCAAAAGAGTTCAGTGTGTTGAAAAAAACAGCTATACAGCTACAAATGTTTTACATATATATACAAACATTGGCTGCAACTATTACGGTAAGTTCATCCACCATCACAGGGCTAGTAATGAAGGTTTAAATGCCGAGAGTCCATTGGGGTAGTAGTTTCTAATTTTTGATAGTCGATTTGTAAATTCCACTTGCAGTTTTTAGTACCACTAGTTCAGCCGGATAATTCACAAGTTCCAGGCTGTTAGGCTACCATTATTGTCTAGCCCTACATAAGCAAGCACTGAAAGAGGTAGAATAAATTATACAAACAAACAAAAAACCGTTTCTGCTTATTATATTTAATGTTTAAGTTAGATACATGCTAACCTTTTGATTTTGTGAATTTTGTGAAGGAATTTTGTTTTAATCTTGGCGCAACAAATGTATCTGACAATAAATGTATTAGTCCCCTACTGGTGAAACCGGGGAGACTATAGGTTTTGTCTGTCTGTCCGTCCATCACCAAAATCATTAAGGTTTGGGTTAAAGTTTTGTAATGGCTTACCATTCGCTTAATAATGATTTTAGGATGCTGGTTCTTAGCATAGAGGTTCTTTAGGGGTCTAGCATTAATGCTGTGGATTGAAAATGGAAAATAATCTTTTTTTTTAGGGAATTTTTGACATGTTTTGGACTTAACTATCCTGCCCAAAATCTTCAGGTTAAAGTTTTGTAATGGCTCACCGTTCACGTAATAATAGTGTTAGGATGCTGATTTTATGTACAGAGGTTTTTTAGGGATCTAGCATTAATGCTGTGGATTGAAAATGGAAAATATTTTTCCTTTATTGAATTTTTGACATGTTTTGGACTTCACTATCCTGGCCAAAATCTGAAGGTTAAAGTTTGGGTTTTGTAATGGCTCACCATTCACTTTATAATATTGTTAGGATGCTAATTTTATGGACAGAGGTTCTTTAGGGGTCTAGCATTAATGTTGTTTAGTGAAAGTGAATAAATAATTCTTGTTTTTAGCTCACCTGCCCGAAGGGCAAGTGAGCTTATGTTATGGTGCAGCGACCGTCATCCGGCGTCCTTCTGTCCGGCGTCAACCTTTTGCTTTAAACAACTTCTTTTGGGTAACCAAAAGGCCTAGGTAGATGATATTTGGCCAGTAGCATGCTTGGATCAAGGGCTACCAAGTTAGTTCAAATGAATGACCTTGACCAACTTTCAAGGACACATGGGTCAAATGTTGTAAAATCTTGAAGCGCCTTCTTCTCAATAAGCAAAGGGCCAGGGTACTGATATTTCGGCCTGTAGCATGCTGGGATGAAGGACTATCAAGTGTATTCAAATGAATGACCTTGACTCGCTTTCAAGGTCACATGGGTCAGATGTCTTAAATCTTCAAACAACTTCTTCTCAATAACCAAAAGGCCCAGTGTACTGATATTGGTCCTGTAGCATGCTGGGATGAAGGACTATCAAGTTTATTCAAATGACTGACCTTGACCAACTTTCAAGGACACATGGGTCAAATGTTGTAAAATCTTGAAGCGCCTTCTTCTCAATAAGCAAAGGGCCATGGTACTGAAATTTTGGCCTGTAGCATGCTGGGATGAAGGACTATCAAGTGTATTCAAATGAATGACCTTGACCAACTTTCAAGGTCACATGGGTCAGATGTCTTAAATCTTCAAACAACTTCTTCTCAATAACCAAAAGGCCCAGTGTACTGATATTGGGCCTGTAGCATACTGGGATGAAGGGCTACCAATTTTGTTCAAATGAATCACCTTGACCCACTTTCAAGGTCATTGGGGTCAGATGTCTTTAAAATCTTCAAACAACTTCTTCTCATTAACCAAAAGGCACAGGGTACTGATATTGGGCCTGTAGCATACTGGGATGAAGGGCTACCAATTTTGTTCAAATGAATCACCTTGACCCACTTTCAAGGTCACTGGGGTCAGATGTCTTAAATCTTCAAACAATTTCTTCTCAATAACCAAAAGGCCCAGTGTACTGATATTGGTCCTGTAGCATGCTGGGATGAAGGATTACCAAGTTAGTTCAAATGAATGACCTTGACCAACTTTCAAGGTCACATGGGTCAAATGTTGTAAAATCTTGAAGCGCCTTCTTCTCAATAAGCAAAGGGCCAGGGTACTGAAATTTCGGCCTGTAGCATGCTGGGATGAAGGATTACCAAGTTAGTTCAAATGAATGACCTTGACTCACTTTCAAGGTCACATGGGTCAGATGTCTTAAATCTTCAAACAACTTCTTCTCAATAACCAAAAGGCCCAGGGTACTGATATTGGGCCTGTAGCATGCTGGGATGAAGGACTATCAAGTGTATTCAAATGAATGACCTTGACCAACTTTCTAAGGTCAAAGGGGTCAAAAGTCATAAAATCTTCAAATGACTTCTTCTCAATAACCAAAAGGTCCAGGGTACTGATATTGGGCCTGTGGCATGCTTCGATGAAGGGCTACCAAGTTAGTTCAAATGAATGACCTTGACTCACTTTCAAGGTCACATGGGTCAGATGTCTTAAATCTTCAAACAACTTCTTCTCAATAACCAAAAGGTCCAGGGTACTGATATTGTGCCTGTAGCATGCTTGGATGAAGGGCTGCCAAGTTTGTTTAAATGAATGACATTGACCCACTTTCAAGGTCACTGGGGTCAGATGTCTTAAAATCTTCAAACAACTTCTTCTCAGTAAGCAAAAGGGCCAGGGTACTGAAATTGGGCCTGTAGCATGCTGGGATGATTGACTACCATGTTAGTTCAAATGAATGACCTTGATCCACCTTCAACCTAATGTCCTTGTTCGACAATCAAGGTCAGAGGTGTCATATGTTTAAATCTTTTAATAGGTTCTTATTAAATCTTAAGATTACAAGTGTTAGATTAATAACAGGTGAGCGATGCAGGCCCATTGGGCCTCTAGTTTATTTTTGTCATGATTTGGAGTTTATCTTGGCCAAAATTTGAAGGTTAAAGTTTGGGGGGGGGGGGGGGGGGGGGGGGCGGTAGGGGACATGTATTGATTCATCAATACCCACAGAATGCTTGTTTGAATTGAAATGTAAAGATTGTAAACTTACAACGAATGTCAACACTGACATATTATCCAGAAAAGAAAGGTCTGCAGATGTTTGAGAACTTGCAGAAGACAAAGCGGTACTGTCCAAAAGTTGTTACAATATTTTCTAATTTTTTTTGTACTGATAAGAATTTTTAGATTCTGAAGTATTTTTCGACTTTTCAAGTAAGTTCTCAAACATTATCAAAACTGTTTGTACAAAATGTCTAGAACTCAGAAAGAAGTCATCTTTACAACAAAACCATAAAAAATTGGAAAAAATGACATCGCCAACAGCCTAAATGTAGAAATGTTTAAAACAAACCTAGAAATTAAAACTTGTATCCTGGTTCCTGTTGTTTCAGCAAAACAAGACCATATATCAATTCAACTGACTGGACAAAAAGCATCAATGTAATAATAATATACTATACAACATTTGATATAACGCCCTATCTAGCTGAAATAAGCCATTCTGAAGTGCTTTACAGTTCATAGATATACAATTTGTACAATCTATACAATTAGCATATACATTAATCAATACAATTTTGAGGAATTTGCAGGAGCTGCCTTATGAGGCGCTAACTACTAGTCCTATGCCACCTGGCTAATATCTCCCTATATGTGTATGCCTGTGTGTGTGCTGGAGATGTATTGTGTTCTGTTTGTAGCGGGAATGTGCTTCCAACAGTATCATTTATAGTGCCACATCATTTGAATGCTACAGAACAGATACTGCAACATCCACCCCAGACTATTTTATACTCCGCCTGGGTTGTTTGAGATGTGTGGGCAGAAGAAAAACACTTTCTCTGAATATCAATGCGTACGATGACTTCGGGGATCGAGCCGCGGCCGGCTGCGTGGAAGGCTGAAGCGTTAACCACTCCACCGATCCGCCCACTGTAAGGCTACTGATAAGTGTCAACAATACCAAAATTCAGACTTGAAATCGATAATACTATGGGAAAATATGAACAATGAAAAGATTATCACGGGAACCATTGAACAAAAACAGTGAGAGTGAGACCAAGTGCTCCAAAAGGGAAAGCATCTTCGAATTCTCAATTGATGACACCCGCAATGTAAATCCAAAAAATGTCATGTCCTAAAAACAGGAATTGTGGTAGTGACAACGAAAATAATTACGTTATCAGCATAACAAAAGAATCTACCTTAATATCACAAAAAATAGCATATTTCCCAATGAAGTCATGATGGCGACCATAGCATTTGTCCATGGTCTTCATCAACCTGTATTACTGGAAACTCTGTGTTGTAAGTTTGACTGTGGTTAGTCAACATATGTCACATAAACATGGTAATCGAAGCACTATCTTGGAACACAAAAAATAACAAAGCAATATAAACGCCATAGGTTGGAGAAGCAGGGTTGTTACTGTCAAGAAAGAGAAAGTCATCCTTGTTGGTCATATTATAATCAGAGATTGAGGTAAGTGGCTGAGTATAAGGTGATCAAAGGTGTATAATACACTGCAGCACTGACAGAGAGGAGCGAAACTAATGTTGAGAATCAGTCTAGTATGTACCGGAAGTATGCTGGATGAATGGTGCAGTTATTTGTTGGCATTAATATTTGAAATCCACGATATCTGCCTTTTCCACTTATTCCCATCTGGCCAATGTTAACCAAATTGGATCTGATAATAGCTCTCATGACCTTGATCGGATGCACTACTTTTTGTATTTGATGCTAGATCCAAAATGGTAACCCTGTTCTCTGATTCAAATGGCTTACTCTTTACTTCCATTAGGTCAAATTTAGCTTAACTCATTCACCGCTACAGTTTTTAACTGGACTTGTCCAGTCTTTGATTTGGTAAGGTTCAAATGTGACTTTAGGGGTGAATTGGTTAATGTCGTGCATGTTTTTCTAT